ATCAAAATGTATTTTATTTTACAAAATGGCTTTCATGCAGTGAATGGAACGGACGCAGGTATCACAGGTACTGTGTATACACACCGTACTTAAACATCCGCCATTGAACTCCATGTACATGTATTTACATGTATAACCCTGCTACCCAATCCTAGCCTCTTTGTAGCAGACACGTCGTTCGCCAAACTTGTTTTTGCTTTGCTAAAATTCAACACTCGACCCCAGCTTTAGGCGCATTATGCTTGTGCAGCAACCTATGGCAAGCTTGTGATGTTGATCTTTTCTTATGGTCATTTGCATAATAAGTGCGTTGGAATTTCATAAAGGTGCGTTATCAAAGCCTCAAATCCAAGGCCACAGGCAGAGCTCTAGTTCATAGCTATACAGCAGTGGCTTGCAAGGACCCGTTTAAACCCTATGAACCAATATTTTGTGTTTTTCTTGATCAATTTCGTTACTTCCCTGTCATAAAGTCTGAATCAAAGTCCGAGTATACCAAGTGCGAGTCTGTGTGCCCTATATCTGAGTCTCAGTTTGAGTAGGAGGTTGAGTTTTGATGGAGAGAAAAATATATATAGATGTCATGTGATTTGGCTTGTATTATGAACTCATGTACAGACCCGAATGTTGTATCCTGATGTTATCATCTCAAAATCCATTAATTTACATCGTGAGCCCAAGAGAAAATGTTGCAGCCTTTATTAACTAAATGTTCCATACAATTTGGGAAATCGGTTATATTTTGGTATGTCAATAGTAAACCAGGCAATTTGTGCACAAACCTTTGGGACTGTGAACCAGTTAAAGTTTTCATGTGATTCCTCCTCATTGCATAAGAAATTGATCGAGCGATCATCTTGTCTTCATGTTCGTAGATTATTGCATGTGTATAAATAGCCGTTAATGTTACGCCCAAACTTGACCATGCATGCTCCCAACATTGTCTGGGACCGTCCAAACCATGTGTTCCAGTCCAGTTGAGACACTTTTTGGGCCCATATGGCCCCAACACTTCATGGCGTCACCCATTATCTTTTTTGAAAGGTCAATCCAGGCAGACACTTAAATCGTTAAAAGCAAGTTCATATCTTTTTCCACTTTAAAATTATTAGGCACTTCCGGTTTCGACCGGAAGGAAGGGTCACGTGATTTTACGCGCACAAAATAAAATGAAGATCATGTATTACCATGTCGATTCCCGCAAATTTCAGGTTCCGGTCTCTCACGGTTGATTTTATATGGCATTTCAAAGATTAAATTATTAAACTTTGAAGTGACGTCACGTGACCCGTGATGACGTCATGATTACGTAATTGCAAAAAAGCACATCTGCGGTAGGTTGTGCATTCATGTATTGACAATTGAAGTTCATATCTGTTTTCATTTTGACACACAGTTCTGGAGAAGGAATGTGTATAGAAGAAAAAAAACCCTAAAAACCCTAGCAAAAACAATAGGTTTTGGGCTAAAGCCCAACACCTAATAATGGGTGAAGCCATGAAGTGTTGGAGCGCCCTCTAGCGGCAGGTTAAAAAACGTCAAAAACGCATTTTCACTTGATGTCTTTGGCGAAGTTTGCGGTAATCGCTTCAAAATTAATGTACATGATGACCATAATGCAGACAACACCTGTGCGCGAAAAGAAAATGATTACGTCATCAGACCGGAAGTTACAATAAAAAGACCTTTAAACCTTCAAAAATTGCTAGAAAATATACCGTGATAGATATAATCAAGATTTGGCTGTATATAGCACAGTTAAAATAGCTCTTGAACTTTCTGGCAATGACGTCATAATGACGTCATCAAGTATCGTATTACAAGCAATCAAAGATTTCTAGATTTAATCTTTGAAAATCAATATAAAATCAACTGCTACAGATTTAATTTTGTTTTTTTTATGGCAATCGATACAATATTGCAGGGTCTTCATTTTTGGTATTAAGTGCAAAATCACTTGACCCTTCCTTCCGGTCGAAACCTGAAGTGCCTTATTATTTGAAATTGGCAGAAGATGCGAACTTGCTTTCAACGATGTGAGTGTCTGCCTATAGGCAGTACTGTAAAAAAAAAAAAGTGACGTCATCAAATGTTAGAGCGCCCTCTGGCGGCATGTTGAAAAAGTCAAACATGGATTTAAACATGCATATATTGAGTTGATGTGTGTGGCATGACGTGAACACTCCTCCGAGTAAGACCAACCCGACCAGCTATGTAGGCAACTCGGGTAGGGACACATCATTTTGGGGAGCCTGCCCTAGGGGATTAAGATATTTATAAGCACTTATTCTATAATTGGTTCCTAAAAGGAGCAAAGGTCACTCTGCCTGAGAGATTTCAAGCATAATATTTGGTTGCTAAATTTAATCTGTCGGCCAACAAATTGTATTATCATAATGACGTACCTGAAATGTTAACTTGTTTTATATGTTGAAATGTGGAAATCCGTCAATAAATGGCTGAGAACGATCTGTTACTGTTATGCTAGCATAAAACCGCAATTCACCAGAAAGTATAGTTCCAGAAAGCAGTGTGGCTAACATGTGGTGTTTCATTTAACCACAAGGCATTATCTCGCTGGGACTGTGGAGCAGGGAGGGGAGTTTAATTTACTTAAGGGCTCCCCAGGGGCTTTCAACAGTGTGAAACTAGCCACTTTCTTAAGAGAGCCGGTTTCGTAATGCAAGGTAAGTTTGCGGTAATCCATGGCCCAACACCGTGTGGTTGTTCCTACAACCTCTAGTTAAGTTTAATGTTGTACAACCGTAAAATGCTATTTTAGAACGTTTTTTTCTCAGGACGAGAATCACGTGATTCATAGCTGCTCTAGATCTGAAACCAAAATAATTTCTAGGAAGCCTCTAGTTCTCAATAACTGAACATCAATAATAATTCGGACATGTTGCATTTTCGGTACACTTTTTCCTGAAATCCGCATTAAATATATAAAATAATTAGTAAATTTGGCGGTGAGAGCCCATTATGATAATGCCATTGTCACGTTACAGATACACCCCACACACCTGAAACCAAAATAGAGTGTAGGCGGGCCACCACTCTTCAAGATGCCATCGGCGATTCGACTTTTTCTTCTACACTGTTTGGTACACTTTGTCTCGAAGTTTAACTTAAGTTTAATGTTGTACAACCGTAAAATGCTATTTTAGAACGTTTTTTTCTCAGGACGAGTATCACGTGATTCATAGCTGCCCTAGATCTGAAACCAAAATAATTTACAGGAAGCCTCTAGTCCTCAATAACTGAACATCAAACATAATTCGGACATGTTGCATTTTCGGTACACTTTTTCCTGAAATCCGCATTAAATATATAAAATAAAGCAAATTTGGCGGCGAGAGCCCATTATGTTATGCCATTGTCACGTGACAGATACACCCCACACACCTGAAACCAAAATAGAGTGTAGGCGGGACACCACTCTTTAAGATGTCATCGGCGATTTGACTTTTTCTTCTACACTGTTTGGTACACTTTGTCTCGAAGTTTAACTTAAGTTAAATGTACAACGTTACCGGAAAATGCTATTTTAGTACGACTTTTCCCAGGACGAGTATCACGTGATTCATAGCTGCCCTAGATCTGAAACCAAAACAATTTATAGGAAGCCTCTAGTCCTCAATAACTGACCATCAAACATAATTCGGACATGTTGCATTTTCGGTACACTTTTTCCTGAAATCCGCATTAATATAAAATAAAGTACATTTGGCGGTGAAAGCCCTTTTGTTATGCCATTGTCACGTGACAGATTCACCCCACACACCTGAAACCAAAATAGAGTGTAGGCGGGACACCACTCTTTAAGATGACACCGGCGATTCGACTTTTTCTCCTCCACTGTTTGGTACACTTTGTCTCGAAGTTTAACTTATAAAGTTTAATGTTGTACAACCGCAAAATGCTATTTTAGTACGATTTTTCTCAGGACGAGTATCACGTGATTCATATCTGCCCTAGATCTGAAACCAAAATAATTTATAGGAAGCCATGAGTCCTCAATAACTGACCATCAAACATAATTCGGACATGTTGCATTTTCGGTACACTTTTTCCTGAAATCCCCATTAAATATATAAAATAAAGTAAATTTGGCGGTTAAATCCCATTTTGTTATGCCATTGTCACGTGACAGATACACCCCCACACACCTGAAACCAAAATAGAGTGTAGGCGGGACACCACTCTTTACGATGACACCGGCGATTTGAATTTTTCTCCTACAATGTTTGGTACACTTTGTCTCGAAGTTTAAGTTTAATGTTGTTCATAATTCAACCGCAAAATGCTATTTTAGTACGATTTTTCTCAGGAAGAGTATCACGTGATTCATAGCTGCCCTAGATCTGAAACCAAAACAATTTATAGGAAGCCTCTAGTCCTCAATAACTGACCATCAAACATAATTCGGACATGTTGCATTTTCGGTACACGTTTTCCTGAAATCCGCATTAAATATAATAAAATAGAGTAAATTTGGCGGTGAAAGCCCATTATGTTATGCCATTGTCACGTGACAGATTCACCCCACACACCTGAAACCATAATAGAGTGTAGGCGGGACACCACTCTTTAAGATGTCATCGGCGATTTGACTTTATCTCCTACACTGTTTGGTACACTTTGTCTCGAAATTTAACTTAAGTTTTAATAAATGTACAATTACCGCAAAATGCTATTTTAGTACGACTTTTCTCAGGACAAGTATCACGTGACTCATAGCTGCCCTAGATCTGAAACCAAAACAATTTATAGGAAGCCACGAGACCTAAATAACTGACCATCAAGCATAATACTGACGTCCTTCATTTTCGGTTCACTCCTCGATGAAATCCGCATTAAATATATAAACATTTATCATATCAATAATGTTGTTTATTGGCCTCCGTACTTTATGAATACGCGGCTGACACGGCTGAATGCGCGGCTGTGGTAGCTGGCCGAATACGCCGCCAGGTTCACTCTGGTGTTGGATGTATTGCATGGGCATGGTAACGTCCGGTAGCCTGGCTACAGAAAGTGTTGGGCCATGCTAAACTGTACACGGTGTACCAGACTATTGTGGAGACGGTGAGATACGGCGTGGTACTATTGTTGGTTTAGTTTAGGGGATTTTTTCGGTGTTTTTTATGGGATTATTTACATTTCTTTGTATGTGTGTGTTACAATAATTGGGGAACAATAGGTGTGGTTGTATTATATCGATATATCAGGTGTGAAATGGCGCATATTACCGTGAAGTGCTTCATGTCTGTGCGTACCCGTAGCCCCATCATGCCCATAAATGTGGCCTATTTACTATACTGGACTGCCATGACTGCCTTCGTAAACATAGGCCACACGTACATCCACATGTACAAAAATGTGTCGCACTTTGCCAAATTTTGATTTCACATTTAGACTTAGTTTGTAGGGTTTTTTTGCTTTAGAAGCAAACTCATCCTCTGAATAGGCTAATCAGGAAGTGCTGCCTTTTTTCAGATGGCTAATTTTTGCTAAATTTCATGTTGATAGTAATGGTAACAGGTCATCTCGTACCTTGGGCAACTCGTACCTTGGACAACTCGTACCTTCAACTCGACGTCATTATACCGAGTCGTACCTTGGACAACTCGTACCTTCGGCAAGTCGTACCTTCAGTTAAGACGACTCGTACCATCACGCGTAAGACAAGTCGTACCGTCAATCAGGATAATGATCCGAGGCTGAATAAAGTGGACCGTAACTCATTGGAAGTGGACTGCTTATTAAAATAAAGGTGAATATCTTTTTGGTATGGGGTCTCTTTCCCCGGGCCCCCAAAAAGAGGAATTTATTTAGCGCGAAGCCGGCCGCGGCAGCTTACACGCACTGTGTGCGCGGCATGCACAGGCCCACGCGGCATCCGTGCAAAGTGACACGGTTCTTACGCCGCGCTGACCGGTCAATATGGACGTCTGTGCACGGTGACATTGATGCAGTCTGCCGTTACGTTTAGAGACTTAGGCTACGTGAAAATATTATGGAACTGATGTTTTTATCCAAGATTCACGTCTTACCATCATTTCTACAATGAATGACCATCATTGAGATGATATATATATGAAGAAAAAAGTGGCCAAACCCCCGCCCCCAATTTGTAAATGTTTCGAATAAACCAGTTGATGAATAAACCAACTGTGAATTTTTTTTTTACATTTTAGACTTTCAGACTTATAGCTAGGAAAGGACTGAATCATTTAAAAGTACTGACTGCTCTTGTATACTTTGGTTATTAGACTTCACAAGAAAACGCAGAAATTACTTTATTTAGACACATTAAATGTTTAAATTTGATTTTTATAAATTTTGTCGGTTGGTTTTAATAGAGTTTAATAAAGCTCGCTCTGGAAACAGGATGTTACGGTGGTTAGGCTGTATTGCATAATTAAACCACACCAAATCCGCATCTGAAGTTTCTCCACTATAAAATTCAATAGATGAGTGACACTTCTATAGATGAGTGACACTTCTATAGATGAGCGACGCTTCAATAGATGAGCGACACTTTGGGTGTACTTGTTAAACCGCCGGCCGCTTCCGAGTCACCGGCATCGGTACCGCGCACGACCGACCGCTGCTCGCGCCCTCGGAGGCCGGCCCGCCAGGCCCAATGCGTAAACTAATGCTGCCTGGCAAAGCCATTAGATCTTGAATGTGGTTCTGTACTGTGAGAAGGAAATTAACTTTGACTTGAAAAGAATCGTATCGTTTGGGAGTCAAGGAACCACACACTAAGTCGCGCACGTACAGTGTACATGTACTCTACTTTTTATTCTGATGGTACGAGTCGTCTTAATTGAAGGTACGAGTTGTCCAAGGTACGAGTTATCCAAGGTACGAGATGTCCAAGGTACGAGTTGTCCAAGGTACGAGTTGTCCAAGGTACGAGTCGCCCAAGGTACGAGTTGACTCGAAAGCATAGTAATGATACGTAGCTGGAGTTACCCAGCCCTGAGTTTTATCATTGGGTTGTCTATTAGGGCTGGAGTGTATTTTTCTCGTAATTAGTAGTATATTCAAAAAATTTTGGAAAATGTTCAATTTTGTCCCCATTACACACTAATTGCAACTGCAACTCACCCCAAACTTGCCTGGAATAACCATTACACAGGTCCTTGAAGTAAAAAACGATCCACGATGAAGATTCAGCCTACAATTGCAGTGAAAACAGGAGGAATAACCGCTAACTTGACAACCTTGCTGGATTGGCCAGGACTGCTATTGGTTTGTGCACTAAAAAAAAATTGTGTACAATGAATGGCGGCGGTCGATTACCATCCACGTACAGCTCGCTGGTACTACGCGTTTTTGCGGTCGGTGCATGACGTGACGCAGAAGCGTAATACCCGATGACTGTTTCATGCATTAACACTGCACTATGAATGCACGATAGCCGGCCAACTCGACGGTTGCCGTTCCAGTACCGCACTGTGATGCGAGTGAACCTCTTCTTAATGCATGAAACAGTCATCGGGTATTACGCTTCCGCGTCACGTCATGCACCGACCGCAAAAACGCGTAGTACCAGCGAGCTGTACGTGGATGGTAATCGACCCCCGCCATTCATTGTACACAATTTTTTTTTAGTGCACAAACCAATAGCAGTCCTGGCCAATCCAGCAAGGTTGTCAAGTTAGCGGTCATTCCTCCTGTTTTCACTGCAATTGTAGGCTGAATCTTCATCGTGGATCGTTTTTTACTTCAAGGACCTGTGTAATGGTTATTCCAGGCAAGTTTGGGGTGAGTTGCAGTTGCAATTAGTGTGTAACGGGGACAAAATTGAACATTTTCCAAAATTTTTTGAAAAAAATACGCTCCAGCCCTAGAGACAACCCAATGATAAAACTCAGGGCTGGGTAACTCCAGCTAGTTGATACGCAAACGTGTGCAAATGGATCTGGAAATTTCACGAAAAATAGACATCTGGAAAAGGCAGCACTTTCTGATTAGCCTATTCAGAGGGTGAGTATGCTTCTAAAGCAAAAAAAACTTACAAACTAAGCCTAAATGTGAAAATCAAAACTTGGCAAAGTGCGACACGTTTTTGTACATGTGGATGTGTGGCCTATGTTTTCGGAGGCAGTCCAGTAAATAGGCCACATTTATGGGGCTAGTCTGTACGTAATTGCTATGCCCACTATGCCTAACTCAGTAATACTAACATTATTTTGTCGTGGGAAAAATGATGCATGTACATGTAGTCTAGTTGTACAATAGTTTGATACCACCTTGGTGATCACTGAAAAATAATGAAAGGTGGGGGGGGGGGGGGGGTGGGCATATAGAAGTGCACATGTTATGTCATGTTATGACTGTATTTGCCAACTAATAATAGTAATGAGCCTTAATCCTAGACAATGCTAGAGTTGGGGTTTATATAAGATGTAAATATAAAATAAGGAAAGAATGTCGATTTTATTATTGAATTATTTAAATGGAATAATTCAGTCTGATGCAAAGTTATCAGGGATTTACTTAGACATGTTAGATAAGGCTCGCTGTTTGTGTGGGAATTTCCTGCATACATGTACATGTATATAGTTTGCGAATAAAATAAAATTGCACTGTTCTCTTTTTACAAACACGAATAATTCTCAAGATATGTCATGGTCACGTTGTTTTGTCAGCTGTGTGAAATTATGAGTTTAAAATTCTCACTGAGTATTAAGTGAAATCATTTTCTAATTTAATGTTAAAAACATGGTGGCATTAGTGACTTAAAGTCAGTTTTTATATCCTACAATCAAATGACAAAGATGTGTATGTCGTTATATAAAACAAATAATGAATGTTTTTCATTCGTGCAATGGAGAGAATATTTCCATTCGTTGAAAGAAGAAATGTTCCATCTTTCAACTCATGGAAATATTCTCACCATTGCACTCGTAAACATTTATTATTTGTATACTTTCCTAATTGTACTTTAGATATTGAGGAGGGGGGCTTAAGTACTTGACAATTGTAAATGACCAAACTTTGTATAATGAAGGGGGGCATAGCCTGTCATTTTGTTAGAATTTGGCAATTTTTAAGTGTTCATTTGCTTTTCTCTGTTTGTTTTTCCTTGGGGGGGGAGGGCCATTTTGGGTGATTGCCTCCCAATACGCTGTTATATTCATTCCAATGGAGAGTGGCCGTCTAGTTGGAAAATGTTATTTATAGTTGGGATATACTTAAGGACCGATGCTGTAGTCAAGGGCCATTCACAATAACTATATTCATGGGAAAGAGTTCTATACACAAACAACACTTGACCCCCTGTGCACAAATCCTATGCGACTGCTCTGAAGAATTGTATTTTTTTGCTAAGTAAATGCCTTTTCACTACTATAATTTGACGGATAAGGGCATGTCATTGCTGTTCATGGCTTGTAGGCCACTATAGGGAAAAATAAGCGTTGTCCGTGTATGGAACTCTTCTGTATTTATAATATGTGTTATTTATCGTTTTTCTCTCTTTTCTCTGTTTTGCAGAAAATGGTGAAGACGCTGAAGAAGACGAGCTGTGACGTTCCTTCAACTTCCCTGAGGTTGGCACCTCCTCAGGGAAGACGCCTGCCTGTGTTTCACAGGCAGTGCGCAAACCAGCTGGTACACGCAGACTGTGTGCTCGTACTCGGAGAACAAAGGTTCCAGCGTGTTCCTTGTTCTCACTGGGAGGGTACTGGGGCCAGCGTGCCCTTCAGCTGGATTAATCTTGAGAAAAGATGCACAGATAACATGAGAAAACATGAGATTAAACAGAGAGAATATGAACAGAAACTAAACAGGAAATATGACTTGAAACTGAGAGCATATGAGTATAATCACAGAGCATACGAGTTTAACCTGAGATACCACATCGATGATACTGAGCCTAGATGCAGTGACTATCTTGTGCAGAGAAGAAGGGTGAGTGAACTGAAGATGCGGAGAATCAACAAAATGACAAAGCAGAGAGTAAGTAATCAGAAAGCATTGAGAAGCTTGAAGGTAAGCAGACAAACATGCTGTAGCAGAAGTCAGGTATTGGAAAGTTATGTAGAGTACTGTCAAGAGGCAAAGAAGGTTTCTAAACCAAATAGAAAGAAAATGAGAAGAAGCCAACGTAGACAGGCCTACCACAGAATGAGGAATGGTAAGATGATCGAATTGCGCATGAGTAAGGAGGACAGAAGAAACCAGAAGAATGCCCAGAAGAATTTACAAAGTCACACTAGAAGAAGTTTGAGTAATGTCTTGAACAACATGCCAGATAAGGGAGACAAATGCATAGTGCAGAAACACAGCAGATATCAGTGTAAACCATGGAGATCACAAAAGAAGAGTAAATTTGCAAAGAGATCGAATGTAAATGAAATTCAAGACAAGCAGTGCTGGTTGTGCGATAGGAGTATTAAGTCATCTGAAAACAACGTGCAGTGTGATGGCTGTGACATTTGGTATCATGTGCATTGTATGAATTTCTCAAAGATGAAACAGCTGTTGAGCAACAAAGCTGTGACATGGTTGTGCAGAAAATGTGGGAGGAGTACTTATTCTGAGTCTCTGTTATGTAATCTTGGTATTCCAACAGATGATAACATGTATGAGTTGACAGTTCAGGAGACATGCACCGATGATGTGGTCAGAGAGAGGTCCGTGAATGGAATGTGCAGGAAGGACAGCAACAAAGACAATCAGAGAAAAAATGTAAGTGATGCAAACAGAAAACAAAGAACAGGTTGCATGAAATTAAAGACTGAAACCAAAGAAGTGGTGGTACGTAGGCAGACAGGTGGTTACTCACTACGGAGCAAGAAAAGCCAACCCCCAGAAGTAGATGATACAGATGAAAATCAAACTAGCATGTCCGAACCTGTTGGAAGGAGGGGTAGAAGAGGTGCAAGAAATGGAAAGGTTGAAGACAGTGTTGACAAGGGCAGTAAAACTGGTGAACAAAGTTGTCAATCAAAGAATTTGCAAGGTGAATGCAATTGTGAAACAAGACGTGAAACAGCATATCCAGTTAGTAGGAAACGGCAGCTATCAAGTGATAATAAAAGTGGTGAAACAAAACATAAACAAAAGGAGGTACATGTACAAAATGCACATGAAGTTTTAGATAGTGAGCATGATGTCAAAGCCAAAGGTAATGTCAAAAAATGCAAAATTTTGCAACATGAAACATGTAAATCTGTGGGAGGCAAACACAATCAGGAGAGTAAAAGAAAATGTAGTAGAGGAAAGAATTACATTGGATCAGACACAATGATTGTGCAGGGAAGTTTTCATCAAGGTGATCATAGATTTGGATGGAGTTCAGGAAAACAATGTGTACCGAACAGTTTGTGCTGTGTTTTATACAGTAAAGTCAAAGAGTTGAAAGACTGGTCTTGTAGTGATATTGATACTACACTAAATACTGGAAATGAGTTATACAGACATTTATCCAGAAGTTCTACAGTGAATACTCAATACTTGTTGATAAATGAACTGCCAAATGAATTGGATTTGCTCAATCATCATTTCAGTATGAGGTTTCATGATCCTGTATGTGGTACATTAGGAGAAGAGTGTAATTTGCCAGAATTTCATATGATGCCGCTGAATCGTACATTAGAACAGAGTCTTCAACAACACTATGCAAGTTTCATATGTTTCCATGGAAATACATTTGTTGTAATTACTCAAGATGGCATGTATTATATCTTTGATTCTCACTCTAGAAACCAGCAAGGTTGCCAAGTCAGTGAAGGAACAAGTCTGTTGAAACGTGTTGCTACTTGGCAAGATGTACACAGGTATTGTAGTGATTTGGCAAAGTCTATGTGCTTGTCTGATAATGAGCAGTTTGAAGTTACAGGTGTATCTGTGTGGTTAGATGATGAGGAAAGACACGATGCTGATGCAAGTATATGTACGGAAGACAATAATGGTTCAGTACTGGCAAGGAGTGATTGCAATAAAGCAAAAGTGGATGAAGGAAACTCTGGGTCTATAGTAGATGTTGTTGGTTCTGGTAGAGGTTTGTCAAGGACATGTACGGATCTACCAAATAATTTGAAGGAAGGCAACAAACATAGTTGCAGTGAAATGAGTCGCAGTAATAAAGTCAATGACAACAGTGATGTTGAAATTATGGAAGTGGTCCAGATGCAAAGGTTTAAATTTGTTCCCCTGACTTATAATAGGAAGCAGGCAGTATGTAGTGAACATAGAATAGGCCACGTATCTCTGGACTGTAATGAGGTTTCAGATACATGTGAAGAGATAGGACGACCTGATTCAGTGAAGAAAATTAAAGGAGATGGGAACTGCTTTTTCAGGGCTATATCATTTGCTGTGTCAGGATCTGAGGATAATCATTTGCAGTTAAGAATGGCTACTGTCAATCACTTGTTAAAAAATGGAGATAAATTCAATGGTTTTCTGCGACAAGGATTTGTTAATGTGGAAGATTATATCACAAGGCAACGAATGTTTGACTCTGGAGTGTGGGCTACAGAGGTTGAAATCATGGCGATGGCACACTTGCTGCATACAGACATATATACATTTGAAGATGTAAATAAGTGGTATGTTTTCTCTGCAAGCACCTTTGAGAGAGAGGCTGCAACATTAGATGAGGCAATATACTTGTACCATAGGCGTAGAATTCACTATGATGTTGTGTTGTCAGTTCATGCATCAACTCAATCAAGAAGGCAATGTGATAATGGACAACAGAAAGTAACAAGTCATAAAGGAGCAGAATGTGTGAAAAATGGTACCTCCAGTAAGTCGGAAAAGAATTCGAAGTGTAAAAGGCGTAAGCGATCAAATACAAAATTACAACAAAGAAAGAAAAGAGAGAAAGCTAAGGAAAGGTATGCAGACAAGGTGCGTGAAAAGAATAGGATTTTAGAGCAAAAGCAAAGTAAAAAGATGAAAAACCAGAAGAACTACCAAAAGAATGCAGACAAGAAGAAGGAATTGCTAAAAATAAAGTACAGTAGTGACATGGACTTTAAAACAGAGCGATTAAAGGCTCAAAAGAGAAACTATAACAATGAAACGCATAAAAAAGGTATTCTGAAGCATAAAAAAGAGAAATATTGTCACAATCAAGAATACAAAGAAAAGAAAAGAAACAGTGGGAAAAGAAATTACCATGATAATCCTGAATATAGAGAGCGGCTAATCACTAAGGGGAAAAGAAAGTATAGTCAGAATCCTGAGTATAGAGAGAAGCTGATCACTAAGGGGAAAACAAAGTATTACAATAATCCTGAATACAGAGAAAACAAAATCAATAAGGGTAAAACAAAGTATAACCAGAATCCTGAGTACAGAGAAAAGTTAATCACTGAGGGGAAAAGAAAGTACCGTGATGATGCAGGATATAGAGAAAAGCTAATAAATTATGAAAAAAGCAAGTGTAAAGCGCAGTACCATAAAGATCTTGCTTATAGACAGATGAAAATTAATCGAGCTAAATGTAAATATCATGGCAATGTTTCATATAGAAGAAAGCTCATTGCAAGTATCAAAAAGAAATACCGATGTGTGACATCTTACAGGGCAAAGTTAATAAGGTATGGAAAAAGGAAGTATGAAAAAAATAATGAATATCGTAAAAGTATGGCAAAGATGAATTACAAACGTGCTGCGATTAACAAAGAGAAAAGACGTAACATTTGTTATGTTACAAAGAAATTCAAAGAAAGCATAGCTAAAGGACCTGAGTATGTGTGTGCTTGCTGTCATAAACTGCTGTTTCAAAAGCAAGTTATACAGTGTAACCTGTACAAATACAGAGATCAGTCATCTATTAGTGACAAATATCTTCATACTTGTAGTGATCATTGTGAATCCAAGTGTATGATTGCAGAATCAAGCAGATCGTGTTTATGGATATGTTATACCTGTCACAGAAAATTACTTGTTAATAAAGTCCCTGCTGAAGCTAATGTGAATAATTTAAAGCTGATGGACATTCCTGAGGAATTAGCATGTTTGAATACGTTAGAAGAGCATCTCATTGCAATAAATGTACCGTTCATGAAAATGATTGCATTGCCTAAAGGAGGACAACATGGTGTACGAGGTCCAGTTGTATGTGTACCATCAAATATAACAGACACAGTGAAAGCATTGCCAAGGCCTCAAAATGATGATCAGATGATCCGAGTCAAGTTGAAGAGGAAATTGACTTATAAAGGATATTATCAATATCAGTTTGTGAGTAAAGAAAATGTGGAGAATGCGTTACGATATCTTCAACTTAATAATATATGGTTCAGTGACATTGAAATAAATGCTGATTGGGACAATCCATTGTGTGAAGATGATAATAAAATTGATCAGTCTGTACATGATATGAAAGAAGAAGCAAATAATGAAAGTGATAACAGTGATGAAGAAACTGATGACGATCGTTTACGAGGCATTGCATTAGACACTTGTCTTCAGCCAACTAACGTAGGACAGGAAATACTTGATCAGTATTTTGACGAAGTGCTGTGTGTGGCTCCTTGTGAAGGCAATAGTCCAATTAGAGTGTTAATGGAAAAGGGTAATGAAGCCAAATGCTTTCCAGCATTATTTCCATCAGGTCAACCTATTTTTGATGATGATCGTGAAGTGAAATTGACACTTTGCCGATATTTCCATAACCGATTGATGAATGTTGATAATAGATTTGCAATGTGTACTCAATATATCTTTTATGCTCAGTATTTGTCAGAGATTCAGAGAGTTACGTCTAGTGTTTCTATTGCACTGCGAAAAGGATCTGATAAAAAGTATAATGGTGACAGTGTGAATGCCTCCATGATCAATGACAGGGACCAATTACAAGATATGTTGAAGTCAGATAGTGGATACAAATTTCTCAAGCCTATTCGTGGTACACCCCCATATTGGCAAGCAGCACAGAAAGATGTTTTGGCTATGATCAGACAGTTAGGAATACCAACATGGTTTTGTTCATTTTCTGCAGCAGATATGCGGTGGCCTGAGGTAATCAATACAATTTTAAGACAGCAAGGTGATTCTAGAGATGTAGAAGATTTGGACTGGAATGAGAAATGTACCATATTGCGAAGTAATCCTGTAACTGCTGCGAGAATGTTTGATCAGCGATTCCATACGTTTCTGAGAGATGTTATACTGTCCAGAGCTGAACCGATAGGAAAAGTCATAGATTATTTTTACAGAGTAGAATTTCAACAAAGAGGATCGCCACATACACATTGTCTTTTCTGGATTGAAAATGCACCAAAGTTGGGAGATGACAGTAAAAGAGAGGTTGTACAGTTTGTTGACAAATATATAAGTTGTAAATTACCATCACAGGACAAGGATGAAGTGTTACATGAAATAATTAGTCATGTACAGTTGCACAGCAGAAAGCATTCCAAGTCATGTAAAAAGAAGGGTACTGAGTGTAGGTTTAATTTTCCAAGACCTCCATCTGAACGAACATTCATTACAGAGCCCATGCCAACAGAGCTCATGCCAACAGACGATGAGGATCAAACTAATGGTGAAAGTAGTGAAAAAAATAAGGCTAAGGAATTACTGCAATCAATATGGACTGCAATACAAAAAACTGAGAATGAACACATGACAACCAATGAATTATTTGCAAGTATAAAGCTGACACAAAGTGATTTTGAAAAAGCTAATGATGTATTAAGTTGCAAAGCCAGTTTAGTTCATAAGAGACAGCCACAAGATGTGTGGGTTAATTTGTACAATCCAGATTTGATAAGATGTTGGAATGCAAACATGGATATTCAGTACATTTGTGATGCTTATGCTTGTGTTGCTTATGTGGTATCGTATATGTCCAAGGCCGAACGTGAAATGGGTATGTTGTTGTCACATGCTCAGGCAGAGGCTCAGAAAGGAAATCTGGATGCAAGACAGAGCATGCGGGAAATTGGCTGTGTGTATTTGCATAATCGTGAAGTATCGGCACAAGAAGCAGTTTATCGTGTCTGTAATCTGAGATTGAAAGAAGGATCAAGGAAAGTGGAATTCATACCTGTCGGTGAAAATCCAATTAGAATGAGTAAGCCTCTGAGTGTTATTCAAAGTACATGTGATGAAGATGATAATATTTGGATGACCAGTAGAGTTGATAGGTACCTAGCAAGACCAAATACTGATGAATTTGAAACAATGTGCTTGGCAACATTTTGCTCAGATTATAGAGTTACAAGCTGGTTTACCCGATCATAGATCGGGTAGGGGGTAGTGTTGGGGATGAAAATGTGGGGAGTTAAATGTAAATGGGGGATATAGTTGGGGAGACATGCAGAGAATAGCAATTTCGGTGGTGTGATCTGAGGCAATTTCTGATCACTAAAACCAATTTGAGCAAAAGATCATGTGTGAAAGTTTTGAGTTTTGAGTAATTGAATCAGCTACATGTATTCTGAGCAATAGAATCATTATTGTAGGCTACAATATTTTTATTCGGGGAAGAAAAAGTGTGTGGGGGGGGGGAGACCAAACAATGTCCCCCCTCAAAATGTGTGTGTGTGGGTGTGTGTGTGTGGGGGGGGGGGGGGGGGGGTCCCCCTGTCCCCCGTCGATTTACGCACATGATAATTATGTACCATGGCAACTGTCTGTAAATGTTGCCGTTGGTCTGTTAAATTGGGTTTTTGTGAGGCAGTCGCATTTGGAAAACGTAGTGAAAAGGTTACTGTAGTACACAGGCGAAGGCTAGTTGTACAGTTTGACAATAAATCATAATGCAATAAAACGTGAAGGTGTCATTTAAAATGAAAATGTTGAGTGTTACCAAAAAATTACAAACGGTCTGAATCATGGAGGAAGGTCATAATTAAGTTTCAGTATTGGACTCTCCAACAAACGTAAACTTGAACTACTTATAATTTGCGAGACCGTCTGCGATTCAACTTTTATTCAAGTTGGTTCAACCATCTATATATAAGAGCAAGTTTTACTTGGCCTCCGAGAAATGTTTGCTTCTGAAAGGATCCGAGACCGCGGCTTCACGTCCGTGGAAAAATGAGGTTTCGTCGATTTTTTTGTGACTTCGTTTTAAGATCGCGATATTTGAAGCAATTAATGCATCGATCCTTCGTTGACCCCAAACAGGCCCCCGAAATTATAACGCGACACTGAATTATACGTGGCGGGCAGCGAACTCACAACGCTCAGCCTTGGTGGTGGAAGCATGGAGCTGTAAACACATTATGGAAGCAACAGCACTCTACCACGCGACGTCACATGCTTGCGCTTCAAATAGCGAGCACCGTAGACCCAACCTCGTTTCCAGGGTGTGGAGCAGGCTGCAGTACGCGTTGCCATCGACAGTTTTGCATAGCCCGGAAATACTACGCAGTGTAGACTTTCGATTGGTCAGACTGCGCAAGGCATACTTAATGTATAGTCCTTCTGAGTATTCGTTGCACTCGGCGCAGGGGCGGCAAGCGAAGCATACGAAAGAATAGGGGCACTTGGTGGCCACGCACCATGGAGAAAAAATATTTTACCAAGGTCACACCAACCACAATTTGGTGAACGCTTTTGCAGAAGGGCCGAGTAGAACACGTAAACGAAACCCCTACGCTGACCTCGCTGACCTCGCACAGTCCAGACACGCAGAAAAGCCAGCACGGGGGGCGGCCAGGCAGTCAACGTGAAAGCGCACACGACGGCAAATTCCTGCGCAAAATGCAGTCACGAAAAATAGACGAAACGGATCGCCAGTCCGTACGGGAAAATCAGGACGACCCCAAGTGTCCGACCCGGCGGAAGACACCCTCCGTATTTTTCCACGGACATGGAGCGATTTTGGGGCAGCGGGAGCCCGCGATCTCGGATCCTTTCATGAGCAAACATCGTCTCGGGGGCGAGTAAACTTCTCTCTTATATATATAGATATATACAAACATGGCTAAAACAACTCGTTCACCAGTATATGAATTGAAGAATGGTTTAGGCCACATACAGAAACGAAGTCGAACTGATCCAGCTGTTATACGATTTCCTAGATTTTCATTAGCAAAATGTCCAGAAAAGTACTACCAGAGCATACTGCAGTTGTATCTTCCATATCGTGTTGATGCCCAGCTAAAACCGCAACAGTTTGAAACATATGAGGAATTTTATAGAAATGGCATTATTAAGTTTGGTGGAATGTTGAAATCTGTGAGAAATATTGTGGAAAGTAGCCAGTCATTGTATGAAGCTAATGCTAAGGCAGTAGATGAAGCTGAGGAAATGTTGGAGAAGTTTGGTCCACAAGAAGATGCTTGGGCATTGATAGCTCCAGAAACCGAAAAGGACAGACTTGAATGTGAAGGACAGCAACAAGCACAAGTGGAGGAGAGTGACAATGAGTCGGATATTCCTGATTTGAAATCCAAAAAAGATGATGATATGAAATATACTATTGAACCACACAGATTAAATGTATCCAAACAAGAAGCAATGAATTTGTTGAGGTGTCTCAATGCTAAACAAAAACAAGTGTTTTACAAAGTCAGACAATGGTGTTTGGACAAGGTGAATGGTAAAAATCCTGAACCGTTCCATGTATTCGTCACTGGTGGAGCAGGCACAGGGAAAAGCCATTTGATTAAATGTATTTATTACGAGGCAACAAGACTTTTTGGAAGAATGGTAGAAAATCCAGACGACATCTCAGTTTTACTTACAGCGCCTACAGGAGTTGCTGCATATAATATACATGGTGCCACAATTCACAGTGCTTTGTCAATAACAACAAATGTCAGATTGCCATATCAACCACTGAGTGAGGAAAAAAT